TAGAATTTCTTAGCCATCACAGAAATCTCAAAACCTAAAACCTAAAGGGGTCAAGAGGGAGAAACTCAATTCCGGTTATTACTACTCCAGTGTCGTCGCCGCTCTCGTCATGGATCGAGGTAGGTTTTCCCGATCTATTATCGATTCGTGAAATCATCTAATTCTAAGGTCCATGCTATTATGATTTATGTTTACATGGGATGGCAATTTGGGTATTGTGCGCCTAGGGTTTGTTTGTGTTGCGTTAGGGTTTCAGTGGGCTATGGGTAAGAGAGAGGTCGTTGTGTGAGGTAAGAGAGTACAATGGTTTCCAAATTAATCATATTTCTCTTCCAAATTCCAAACCGAACAACGATATTTTGGTTTTGGTTCGGTTTAGCTCGTTTTTGCTTCGATTCGGTTCGAATTTAGTGAACTGGATGCCCAACCCTAATACCACCCTACTCCAAGTTATACATTAGGAGGTTCTGGCAAAGTGGCAATAGCACATATGATCACAATTACACCCTCGACCAGTAATTTTCAATAAGTTGTTTTATTTATTGTTGGTGTATGCTTTATTTTAAGTGTGTTTGCTTTATGTACTTTGAATTCACCCTTGATGTATCCTTTTTATTATGTTTTTTTTCAATTATTAATGACGACATATTTAATTAGAGGCGAAAAAAATTAAGTCAAAATAATAAAGTTATATCAAAATGTTCTTCTTAATTAATTATTACTACCTATATAAAAAGAACAATCAAATTATTTAAGTAAAGTGACGAAATCAACAATAAATTGATTTCATCAAAAGCAAATCCTCCTATTTTTCCTCCTTTCCTTACATTGCCATTGTGGGTTTTTCCTTCCCCTAACCCCGAAAACCCATTTTTTCCACCCAACCCACCCTCTTTTCCCTACAACCATTGTGAATGGTCTTAGGATAGGGCTATAAGTTATGTATTAGGTCCTTAAGACCCATCATATTATCCGTAGCATCTGAATCTAGGATCCATGTAATCTTAGAATTATGTTGAGAACTATAAGTTTGAGGATTACCTGATTTTTCGAACAACTGAGTTACGTAGCCTTTTGTTTTGACTAAGCTTGAAGTACTTGAGTGAACATTTTCTGAAGAGCTTCCAATTTCCCGTTAGAAAAATGACCACCTTCCTCTCTACCCTTGCTGGAAGCTGTATTAGCACGACCTTTTTGACAACCCATCTTAGATTTTTAGCCGCGTGATCCACTGGTGATCTTCCACCATTCATACTTAGTATGAAATCGTTGCTTTTGAAATTCTCACCATTTTGCTACAGCATCTGAGTTGGTTCTCGATTTTCCTTTTCCCCGGGTATTATAAGAAACAAGCTTTGTGGTTGTTTCTGTTGTCAAGTCAGAGCTTGAGTTATCTGAAGTGGACTTTGAATATGCAAGCATAAGTTGGCAACGACCTTCCTCCCTCAGAAGGAGAAACTGAACTATTTGCTTCTTTTCCACAAACACCTTTTTTTTTTTTTTGCATAAGTCGTCATTTCCCATTTCTGAGCTTCATACGAATCAAGATGAGGCCAGGTTCAGACTAAGCGGTTGTAGTATTCTGTAGCACTCATGTTTCCTTGTTTGAAGTTATAGAGTTGTGACTCTATTTGGAACAAGGCAAAAGAGTTGTCTTGTGTGGAATATAAGAGTTGTCCTGTGTGGAATACGTCTCTTCCACATCATCCCAAAGTTCTTTTGCAGATTGATGTAGTAGATAATTGTCTCTGATATCTAGTTCCATTGTGGAAATAATCCAAGACTGGACTTGGTTGTCATCCTTGTTCCACTTGATGCAAGCAGTAGCGTCAGATTCCGCTGGTCTAGTTGCAGCACCAGTCAGATATTCCCCCTTTTGCTTCCTTGTGATGAACATTCGAACAGATTGAGATCACTTGAGGTAATTCTTCCAATTGAATTATATGATGGCGATTACTCCAAAGCCTGATTATGTGCCTAAATCATTGTTTGATGTGGCCACACTCTCTGTTTCTTAGTTGGTAGATTGTAGAGAAGAAGAAGAAAAGGAAGAAGAATCAGGTGAGTCTTTGTCTGTGCTCATGACAAACGAGTTACTGCCGGCAGCAGCGAAAGCAAGAACTGGCAGCTCTGATACCATATCAAAGTTTGGGAGAGAACAAGAACACAATAAGTTTATAAAATTCTGCTTCTTGTATTAATCTTATGATTTATATAGGGATATATAAATATATATAGGGTAGGTTAGAAGAGACCTACCTTAACTAGAATATATCCTAGACTAATCTTTCTACATTTAGACTAGGACCAGTTGTTACTATTGTCTATGATTACATGCTAACGACTCATATCATTCAACAAAGTGGTTCATTATTGATGCCATGAAGTTAAGGAAGTTGATTACATGGCTTTCAAAGCCTCTAATGGCCCTGTGTAACGTGATGTTTGTCCCTTTTATTGTAATCGGATGATTTTTACATTGATAATTTCCTTTCTGATTGTTTCTTCTGATTATTCTGAAGAGTCTTTGTTGAACTCTTTAATAATTTTTTATGGTTCTTTGATGGTATTTATATAATTTCTCTCTAGAAAGAATAAAATCTAGGTATATTTCCTTTAGGTCGGCCAGGCAGGGAGATCTGTTCATATATGCATCTCGAAAAAATATTCAATAAATTAATTGTTTTATTAAAAAGTTGAGAAACAACCCCCACCTCACAAAACGGAGATTATGATATGATAAATGAAGGGAGTTTTTTAGAAATGGAGACCCTTAATAATGATAGCTACATTGGATTTAAAAAAATACATCAAAGGGAAGTTAAACTATAAATAATTTGGCTAAATATATAATATTAAAATTAGATAAAACCAGGTAAAAAAACGGGACATAACAAGTCCAAGAGGGACAACAAAAAGAACCATGCATACCCGCCCCATAACACCCACGCAAAATAGGTCTAAACATATTGAGTAATTTGCATCCAAACCTAGAGTTGTGGTGTGCTAGAAAGACAAGTCAGTTCCTAAGTACCATGGTGTTTGGTAGAAAATTGAGGATTAAGATTCGTAGAGTGATGGTTAGTTGAGTAGCATTAGTATGTGATTCATACTCTATACCTAGACATAGTCTCGTAGTTGACTTACGCCTTGCAAACGGGAGAGCGATAAACTAAAAAATTGGAGGAAAATTGCTGAATATTAGTAAACACTTTTCAAAAATAAAAAAAATGAGTGCCTCAACACGGGTGAGAGGAGAGGAAGAAGGTTGCATGTTACACAATTTAAAACTAAAAAATCTCTGAAGTCAAAATCCAATATTACAACCACTCAATCGAATCTACTGTGTTATGTTGAATATGAATGTTACACAATTTAAAACTAAAATCTCTGAAGTCAAAATCCAATATTACAACCACTCAATCGAATCTACTGTGTTATGTTGAATATGAGACAAGAACCAACTCTTCTTCCTTATTAATATCATTGGGACACCCAGTGGTGCCCGAAATTTTGTGAAGAATCCATATTTTTTTGGTATAAAAAATTTGAATATGGGATATCTGACACACCTTCGATCATTGTAACCGATAGACCTTATTATATTACAAAATTTTTGTGTTCATAATGTTATTAAAATGTGTAAATATATGAGTTATCGGACTTCAGACTAGGTAGTTAATTAGTTGGTTGTACAAGAGTAAACAATTAATTAGCTACTTAGTATGTATGTAGTGAGTATTCATAGAGATTGCTATCATCTAAGAGATAACCTTAGTAATTTTAATTAGAATTAAATTGATTTATAAGCTGGTTGAGTCAAGTAATTAGATTGTGAATTACATGTTGTCTTTCGCCGTAGCTTCTTCAATAGGTTTTTTCGTTAAGTTAATTTCAATCATGCTTTCTAGTTTAGTTATTACTTTCCACGTTAATGCCAGTCGACACCCTCCAATTGTCGGTGTCAGCAACATCCTCATTCTCATTCAAATTTCCACGTTGACGCTTGTGGCTACTCTTTGAGCTTCATATTCCAACTTTTCCATATTAAATTAGTGTTGACTTTACCTCTTGCAACTGCAAGCTACAAAATGACATTTCTCGAATAAGAGCTTAATCAAGAATGATATTTAGTATCAGTTGAGTTACCAATTTATGAATAATTGTTTAGTTGTTTACATAAAAAACGATCTGATTTGCAACCTAATGGACAAATGTAATTAATAAATCTTTCAAAAATTCGTCGTGCTTCACTATAAAAAACAATGAAATTGGTGATTTTGATGAATACAATGTTATATTGATTTAATTAATCTATTATTTTTAATTAATTTAATTATTATTTAAAATTTTATTTTTATGGACCGACACACCTATCCCAAAATCCTGGGTTCGCCACTGGGGACACATAATGAAAATATGCAATTTTTCTATTGAGTCCAAGTAGGGCCATGCGTAAGACCGAGTCCAACACATACCCATCACTTAATCAAACCCTAAAACCCATTATAATGATCCAATTATTCATAATAATTGGAGTTAACTTGCTCGTAGAAGCAATAACAAAGTTTAGGGATGTCTTGTCTCCCACGCCCCTTCTTTTCTTTCTTCTCGACCAAATCATATAATCCCAAAACCTTCCCAGTTCCCAGTGACCAATCTTGCAATTTACCCTTTTAAGTTTTGTATAAAAATTTTGATTTCGATGATTGGTGATACTGCAAACTACAGGCATCTCATTCAGTAAGTGGGGAAGGATATTTGATTCGGATCATAGTAATAGAATAATCCACCTTTAACGTTCCACTTGAATCTTGGAAAAAAAAGTATAATGAAAAAAGTGGCAGACAAAGACCAGCACACTTGACCAAACACCATTCCCTGACTTCTCTCTTTCGTACCAGATTCCACCTGACCCAGCAAACAACCAATATTATATATGAACTATTCCGCCTTTTCACATCCATGGTTCAAGATTCTAAAATACTACTCAAAGCCTTGCATTCTATTATTGGAAAAGGAAGAACCAGCTGCTGCTGCTGCTGCAATTACTATTATACAATGTGTTCTTCGAGGATTAATGGAAGAATATTGAAAGGGTACAAGTCTTTACAGCGCAAAATCATTTACAGACTGTTACTACTTCTATCCTACGAACGGCCCTATCCTACCTGAATGAATGGTGAATAGACAGACTAAAAAAACAGTGCTCTGATCCCTCATCAGTATAAACGTCCCCGACATTCGCTTGTACCACAATGGCACTCCAGCTCTTTTACGTTACCGTCTTCATCAGTAACGCTGCCAAGCCGGTAAGCGTAGTCATATGTAAGTTCCTGTTTCAACCAAGATTACCAAACTTTAGCATATACTGTCTCATTACTACCATTGTTCCCCTGTAATAGTGTGATCCACCATGTGTAGAATATCTATCTATATATAGGGAAAACCGAAAGCAAGACCAGCAAAGCTACTGCCCAGTTATGTATTAATTACCGTCATCGGGTCAATATCGTCTGCAGCAAACAACACTATCCGAGCCAGTCTGAGATCATGGTGCGAGCTCAAGATGCACTGAACAAACAGGTTGGGCTCGCAGCTGTGATTAATGAATCTAGTAACATTGCCACAAGAACCTGCATCTATGCAAAACTCGGTGTCGCTTTCTCGCAGTGTCGCATCAACTTGTTCTGGTGTTCCACTCGTTACAGGGACATCACCTTCTCGCTTCTGTAAGGCACATAGTTCTAATATGAGAGAAAAGGGGGAAGAAACTCAAAACAAGGCCTACTAACACATTACGCCTTTTCATTACAATGGCACGAAGTTTACAGACTCATTATATCATTTGTGCATAAATCAACTGTTAATTTTGTTGATCATCTTGATTCAAAGACATGACCTCTAGGTTAACGTACCTCTCTTCCGTCAATCCCATGCATGGTGTGCAAGCAGTCAATGTCAAAAATATAATCATTGTCATGAACGCTATCCATTTCTGCATTCCTTCGGAGAAGTCCGGTGTATTCACACACCGGAGCACCAGCAGGGATCAAATCCCAGGACCTAACAGCCCATCCTTTTACCTTTGTTCGGTAAACCTAGTGAGAAGTACAAGTTTTAAGTAGTGGGAACACGACACATGAAGAGTCGTTGGTTCAAACGACGGAAGCTGTGTGGCAAAAATACCTCAAGTTGGAACTTTAATCCATGCTGAGATACACGATTTATGCATTTGGATCCACAACTGCATCCAGGGCCGCATTCATATACTACGTCTTTTGCTTTAATCAATCTGAAGAATTCCACCATGAAGAACAATATTGACAAAATATGAGAATTGACAATAAATGCAGTTAATCCAATATCGAGTGGCATTGTTAAACCAGTAATTCAAATCTCACCTGCCACCATCGAGCTCCGAGTATGGCAAATCAGAACCATTTAGCTGTGCACAAGAACAAGTCTTTGGATTTGTACAATTTCCTTTGCAATTGCATCCAGGGGCAGATGGGGGAATGACTACGTCAGTTGCAACTTGAATTGACTTGGTATACTTGAAATCTACGACGAGTTGAAGGTGAACACATGATTAAAGAATAATAGATCATCGAAGACAATTGCAAAAGGAAGTAACCAGCATGCGTTAGAAATGCACTATAACACTGTGTTATGTTCAATACAAGGAAAATCATTTGAGGAAGGAGTAAGTGCAAATTTCAGTCCTCTACTAGGCTTGCTTTCTTAACAAACAAACGATGATAAACTTGCCTGGAGGTCCAATAGGACATGAATCGACTGTATTTGTAACAGGAATTTTTACTGCTTCTTCACCATAGGATATGTCTTCACACACCAAGCTTGAGAAATAAACACTTACACCAGTTAAAGCTGAGTATATTCACAAAAGAGCACAATATATTTTATATATCATACCCTGTCAATTTTTTAGGAAACGTGGACTGCCTTTCTCTTTCTATAGTAACCTACAACCAAACCAGCAAATAGGTCCAGTCATACACAACAACTTAGGTGAACAAACTAAGCTGACAAGAACAAACCAGATCAGAGCTTACCTTTGGTTGTCCTAAAAGTTTCTTCAAACGGTATGTGAAGACAGGTTGTCCATGTTTACCTTCAACGGACCAACACTTCAAAACCTTGATAAGAGAGTGGAACTATTTTTAATAAAGATAAATGTGGATACTGGTAACATCTTATTCATTGCATGCGGAGTAGAAGGCAGGTATGACTTTCTAGAAACTTTAGTTTGAATGTGAGAGCAAAAGGTACATACAAGATCATGAAGTGAAAGAACGTAACTAAAATTACATAAAATTTCCACTGAACGGAGTACCAACCTTGTACAATCCACAGTATGTATACTCTTTTGAACCATTCGTATCAGAACATTTATGTGCATAAATGAATCTTACAGGTATGCATTGCTCCATGTTGTTCTGCAATGCAAAAAAAAAAAAAAAAAAATAGACAACAGCCTTCAACCATCCAAAATATACAATTGAAGTTATGGAGCACCAAAACAAGAGATGTCATGTGACCTTAACAATTCAGAAATTTCACCTAGGTTCAGTTAGTGAGCCCATTATAATTAACATGTGCAAGAAATTGACTATGTGGCGTACTAGACGTGGTAATGAAGCAACATGAGAATAGAAACACAGCAATAGTAGTTTGCAATTGTAAGCCTCACCACACCTTGAGAGCCAACCTAGCATCCGGCATGGCTTGATTTTCCACTCTATGCCTATTAGAAGGCAATTTATTCCCACTTGGGTGAGTAAAGACTACTTCATTTATACAGTCAATGTCACCTTTAGAGGGGTGAGCTAGCACAACTGCCACCGCCAAATGAGGAATATGATCATTTTGCATCTGTGACAATGAAGAATAAATTCAGTATTTGAGATGGCTGCACAGAGTATTGTCAAAATATATTTTGAGGAAGTACTAAACTTTGGGAATGAGAAACCTTGAATAGTAAGAAACCATAAACTCAATTAATATGTCTTTTAATTAGGAAAAATGGGAAACCATCCAGCCCCAAGAATTAAGAATTGTAAACAGATGAGAGATCATAAAAAAGAAAGCTAAAGACAATGCATCTACTCAACATATGTTCACACCTTGCTTTATCAATACATTAGTTCCAAGCCAGTGTTAGAAAACAAAGGAAAAGAAAGAGAACATAGAAACATGTATGCATAGTAAAAGAAAGATAATAAGGTTGATCTTTTTGAAAGCAAAATGACAAAGCATTATCAATGCAGGGGAAGAAACACGAAAAGCTTGATAGTAGGCTAGAAAACTCGTTCAAGATACAATACCAATCTTTTAGAATGCTTTCTTAAGTAATCAATTCCACTCAACCAATGTTGCTGAAAACCTATGGCCACCATTTCAGCTCGGGAGAAGAATCTATGCCCGGCAACAATGCCTGCACCAATAATGTAGAACTACTGCTCTTAGATATTGTATTTTCGCATGTTACTATCAAATTCATGCATAAGAAAAAATAGTTTTGCAATATAAGAATTCGTCATGAGCCAGCGCTAGAAAATGAATGGATTTGGAATCATTTGGGCTTCTAAATTCACAAGAAAACGGTAGCTTGAAGATGAGATTAACACCAGGAGTAGAGCTCTATAGTTTCAACTGAGCAAGGATCACAAACATAAAGCTAACAAGGGCAAAGGTGATTCACCTACCAGGGAGAAGGCCAAGTTTCATATTGGAATTCACATTTTCCTTTTTGTTCAATATCTGCCACAACAAACCAATATGGAAATGGGTAATAAAAGATGCAAAAATCATACTTTTAAATGCAGCAAGCGGGGTATGGTTATCTTCAAAAATGGCGTGATTACAGAAAAGAATAATAGCATAATGCATGTAAGTAAGCCATAGATGGTGGATTGCAAAATGTTAACACCACAAAGATTGTCTTCAATGATAATGTATTATGTGAATTCATGGTTATGGGTACAAAAAATAGATTTTTATGGTTGTTAGAACTATATGCATGTGTTTTACGATTCAGCATTTCAGGCGGAAGAAGGCTAGATAGTCAGAACTTGCCTCGTTAGTCGCCTTCACATCTGATCCTTTGTTAGGCTTTGTCTGCTTCTGCAGGCCGAACAATTTGTTGTGTAAGTAAAAGGCAGCGGAAAAGACCTACCATCAACTGAATTACTCAGTTAGCTCGAAATATATGGAACTTGAACGGAATAGAACATTATTTTTATCAGGAACAGCTGTAAAAGACGGAAACTTGAAGCTATTGATGCAGACAATTAGGCAAAGCCCCAAATTGCACATTGTCAAGCATTGCAATACTGAAACAACAGACAAACACGACATGGTTCGGAAAAGGAAGCCATGAGAAAGCAATCACCTGAACAAAATCGAGATAATCCCCATTGGATTTTTTCATAGTTTGTTTGAGACTATCAGTAACAAAGCTATCATAGCCAACCATTTTGAAGCTACAACTGTCTTCCAGATCAACAATGTCCGGCACATCGATATCTTCTGCGTCTTTATCAGCATTGGGTGTTCCATCAAGTCTCTGTTCTCCGTCCACTTCTTCACCAGATCCGCTCACTAGTTTGTCCCCATAAAATGGCCGCTTCTGCTCGGGGATATCCCTAAGCCTAGAGCTACTTCTGCGCTTTGATGAAGCAGACCATTGTACAGAAGCATCGGGATAAAACTCCACCTCTGACTCATCAATAATCTTACCCATCAAAAGTTCCCCCAATATTTGGGACCCTACAGTGATAAGATGACGACAATTATAGAGTAAAAGGGAGAGTAGAAGAAGATGGGAAAACGCGGAAGAAACAAGAGTAAAGAGACGAGTAACGGCCAATTACCTACAGTTTCAGGTGGTTCGGAGAACTGGGTAAAGAGCGGGAGTGAAGGAAAAGGGCGAGACCGGAGACCTAAGAAGCTAGGGTTACCTGCACTTCGCCAGCGGCTGCCGGTGGTTGGGAGAAAACTTCGAAAGCCGTCGTCCTGGCGGGAAGGAGAAGATTGAAGAGCAGCCACTACTCACAAGTCAACAAGGCAAAGAAAAAGCTATTTAATTACTGTCCGCGTTCTCTCTCTCTTTCTCGGCCTTGGCGTGGGCTCCGGCCTATGGGCTTACGCTGGGGCTGGCTAGACTAAAGTATGGGCCAGGTGGCCCATTTTGACCTTTGTTACTATCTTCGCTATTTCCTTGAATGTGAACAGTTTTTTTTTTTTTTTGAAAAACAGAGTGCAGAGGGGCGCTCTAACCCTTAATTGATTACTAACCGGGGAGTCTGAACTCCAACAAGATCGAAATACAACCAATAGTTCATCATCGGGCTCGGGTTATCAAACACATGCAATCCTATAGGCAGAGAATGGCCGAGACCCACCATATAATAAGCAACGAAATTGCTCTCCCGATAAACATGCTTGATACGCACTTCCCACTCCCTCTCAAGCAACCTGCGGACAGTGGAGATCATCGTGCGATGTGGATGGTGCTCTGTATCACTTTGTAGCAGCTGCACCACCGTCATAGAATCCGTTTGCAGCTCTACCTTTCGGGCTCCTCTCTCCCATGCCATCCTCAAACCATACACAACACCCGCCATCTCTGCGTGTGTAATAAAGCCGCCACCCAGATTCACCGAAAAGGCCGACATGAATCTCCCATCATTTCTTCTCATCACTCCCCCCGCTGTTGTGCTGCCCTGCTCAATTATCACCGCTCCATCCGTATTGACACACACTCAATCATTCTCAGGTCCTTGCCAGCTTATTAAAGCCGTGCTTCGAAGACAACCACCCCCCGTCACCCGCCTCGAATTCTTGTTGGCCCTTGACACTTGATCCCGCCAGCTCTTAATTATGCAGGCAAATTGTGCAGTGGATGCCAGCTCCTTGTAAAAAACCCACCGATTTCTATTTTTCCACAGCTGCCAAAGAAACACGGCAAAGAGGGTGAGGTCAACAACAGAGCTGCGGCCAGAGACATAGTACATCACCCATTTATATATGTCCTCTTCGTGGAAAGCTTCATTAGGTTCCCCTTCCAAAAACTCAGACCACACCATCCTCGCGTACGGGCAATTACGCAGTACATGAATCGTTGTCTCTGGCGCGCCACCACAAATCTGGCATTGATCCTCTGACGCGAGATGGCGGCGAACTCGCTCATGATTTGTTAACAGCCTATTATGCAGTACCAGCCACATAAAAGCTCTCGTCCGCTGTGGTCCTGGTATATTCCAAATCTCCCTCCAAACCGGGTTTCTAGCCCCAATGCCGCCCGCGTTCGTTAGCAGCTCCCAAGCTGATTTGATCGTGAATTTTCCTGACTGCGAGAATCTCCACACCGGGACATCAGGTTCAGTTTCGTGTGGCACCGGGTGGAGGAGGATTTGGTCTGCTATATCCTCGGGTAAGAAGATCCTAATAAAGTCCATGTTCCATGCGTCGTTCAGGACCATTTCCGCAACCTTCAAGTTCCTGGCCTCGACTGGCAGATCATGAGCGAATTCTATCAGGGGAGGTCCATCCTGCAGCCAACGGTCAGTCCAAAAGCATGTTTGCATACCACTTCTGATACTCAACAACGTCCCTTCCGGCAACCAATGGAGGACTCGTAATACTCCCCGCCACAAATTAGACATTCTCCCTTGTCTTCGCGGTTGCCACCCATCAGCTGTTTGCTTGAGGTATTTCCCTCTTATAAAGCGAGCCCAAAGGCTGTCTTGTTCGACAAGGAGTCTCCAAGCAATCTAAAGCAAAAACGCTTCATTCATGTCAGTTGCAGTTCGTAGTCCTAGGCCGCCCGTTTCCTTTGGCCTGCACACAGTTGCCCAATCGATCAAATGTATCTTCCTGCCCTGCTCTGAACTTCCCCAGATGAATCCCCTGATCTTCTTGTCAATATACTCCCTGACTGCAGCCGATAACAGAGTTCTCTACATAGTGTATGTCGGCAATGACGACAGTACATATTGGACCAGAGTGATCCGCCCAGCAAGAGACAATGACTTCACCTTCAAGCCAGCCAACCGCGTATCAATTTTATCAATTAGTTATGTGAAAGTCGCCTTCGAGACCCGATCATGAATCACAGGAACCCCCAAATACCGCCCCAGATTATTGGTAACCGGGATATCCAGTGCACTGCTGATATCTGCACTAACCGAGGCACTCACATTGTTTGAGAAGAAGATCCTCGATTTGGGTCGACTGACCTGCTGTCCAGAGGCCGCACTAAATTCCTCCAAACACCCAGAGATAGCCTGCGCTTGTTCCAGGGAGGCCACTGCAAACAGAATTAAGTCGTCAGCAAAAAACAAATGCGACAATGATGGCCCATTCGTAGAGAGCTTAATTGGTTTCCATTCTCCTCTGCTCACTGCTGCCGAAATCATGTGCCCTAGCCCGCTCCATACAGAGCGTGAAAATATATGGCGAAAGGAGGCAGCCCTGACGAAGGCCACGAGACGGTGTAAATGGCTCCGTCAATCCTCTGTTCCACTGTATCTGCATGCTGGTCGTACTTATACAACTCATAGTCATGTCAATGAAGCTATGCGGGGCTCCCACTGTCTCTAATGTATCTCGAACAAAGCTCCACTTGATCAGATTGTAGGCTTTCGCGAGGTCGATTTTTAGGACCATCCAACCGACCTTGCCCTTTTTTGCTCGCATAGAGTGCACCACTTCCTGCAAAATACAGATGTTGTCAGTAATATGTCGCCCAAACACAAAAATCGTTTGTGTCTCGTGCACTAACTGAGGCATGAGTGGTTTTAGTCTTTCGGCCAGGCATTTTGTGATTATTTTGTACACCACATTGCACAAGCTAATGGGTCTGAACTGCTCGATAAAGGATGGCCGCTGCACTTTGGGGATTAACGCTACAATGGTCTCATTGATCTCCTGGACACGCCCTGGGCTCGCCCAAACTGCCTGCACAAATATCACCACCTCCCCTTTGACAAAGCTCCAACACTGTTGATGAAACATCGGGTTCAGTCCATCCTTGCCGGGTGCTTTGAGAGCTCCCATCACTTTCACCGCACCATATATCTCCTCCTCCATAGGCTGGTGAGCGAGGGGCAGCCACGATTGAGGTGGGAGCTCCCCAAACGCTGCAGGGATCGTCGCTATCGGGAGCCCATCGTCTGTATATAGAAGCGAGTAGTACATCGTAGCCATCTCAAGAAGCTCCCCCTGCTCTTCGACCCATTCTCCTCTTTCATTTTTTAGAACGAGCACTCTATTCTGCCGACGCCGCTGGATAGTTTTCGTATGAAAGTACTTCGTATTACGATCTCCCATTGTATTCCAATCCTCTCTCGACTTCTGGCACCATAACAACTCCTCTTGAAACAAAATTTCCTCCAACTCCTCACATGCTTGTCTTAGCTCCACACAATCTGACTCACCTCCATATCGCAACTCCAGCCGCTCAATGGTAGCCATTAACGAGTCCTTCTTTCTAAGAATATGCCCAAACGTTGAATAGTTCCAGCGTTTAGCTTCCATTGTGAATTCAGATATTGCACTCAACAATCCTGTTCCACGTCCCCATGCACGTTCTGCCATTTCCTTGAACCCATCATGTGTTAACCAAGGAGCCAAAAATTTGAAGGGCTTAGCTCCAATGGCTTGAAACTGTGGATTCAGTTGAAGTACAATTGGGCGGTGACCACTTTTCTTAACTCTGGGAAGATGTCTCACAGTAGCTTCAGGGAATAAAGTCGACCACGCCAAATTTGCCAGGCCTCGGTCCAAACGCTATTTCAAGCCTGTTCTGAACCAAGTGAATGGGGGACCCGTATAGCCTAGGTCCACCAACCCAGAGTCCAGTACACACTCTTGGAACTCCCGGGCTCGACTCGCATCGAACAGTGCCCCTCCCATCTTGTCAGAGGGGTAAAGGATGGAGTTGAAATCACCAATAAGGCTCCACGGCCCCTCCATATTATCCGCTAACGACCGGATCGACTGCCATAGCTCTCGTCGCTGTATAAGGGTTGGGTTGCCATACACCGCAGTGAGATACCAACTATCATTCCCACACTGGACCCGCGCATGCAGGAACTGGGTGGACCTCTCCACTTCATTGATACTGACAATAGATGAATCCCATACCACCCATATGCCGCCTGAGTAACCCACCGCATCTACAATCAATTCCTTGTCATAACCCATCCCGTGTACTACCTCCAGCGCCTTATCACCACTGATGCGAGGTTCCACGATAATGCATACACACGGTTGATATTTTCTAAGATATTCTCAGAACATTCTCAAGAAGCGTTTGCTACCTGCACCCCTACAATTCCACAAAAAGAGGTTTAGCTTCATTGCAACTGGAATATGTAGGTCCTCGGCTTGCGCCCAAACACTAAGCGGACAGGGAAGCCCCAGGGTTGAGGCTCCCTCTCAAAATTCTCGTTTTATCTCCCATTTTTGGATCTTCCCTGGTCATGACTGCCCTTGAGCCTGCTATCACTTCGCTAAGATCCGGAGGACGTCTATGGTAACTCTGGTTCTTATCCTTATCACCAAGCAACATGGTAGCATGGTGGGTGTCCTTCATGCCCGATTCCATATGAATCTAGCTACGTACATCGCTAGCATGCATCGACGTAGGCAGCTGCTCCATCAAGGGCTTCACAAGTGGCTTTCTTGACTGTGGCACTGAGTTCCTTCCAACGTCGGGGCAGTCCAGGTTTGTATTTGCCATGCATACTTTCTCACTTGGGACAACTCCTACTGCCTCTTTCTGCTTCCCACCTGCTATCTCCTTCCATTGATGCTTCGCTGCATTTGCTCCCACTCTTGGTCCCTGTTGGCTCTCCCTCGAATTAGTGCCACCCTTCGGTTGCGATGCCACCACAGGTTCCACGCTCTCCTCTTCCCCAAGAACATTAAATCTTGATCCCATATTATTGTTCATATTGTGTCCACGATCTTTTCCCTTATTTACTCCCTCCGCGGTGCTAGCATTATCTTTGCGACCCTGCGGCTTTCGCCTAGCAATCATCCATTCGCCATAAACCTGCTCGTGATCTCCATCCATTTTCCGTGGTTGTGACTCAGGAGGTTTGGGGCTTTCATCTTCTGCAGCAACTCCAGTTTCCATGGCCTCCGGTGGAGCTTCACAAGAGCACCGACCCCATTCAGAATAGGTACCGCACTTTAGGCAAATTCTCTCCAGGCCCTCGTACTGAATAAAGTACTTAATTCCGTGAATCCTGAACTGAGACAGAAGGGGCTTTATTCAGGTCCACCTGAACACATATTCTCGCATAGTCCAATCTAGCTCCGTGCTGGTCGCGTGATCTACTCGGATCGGCTTCCCAATACGTTTACCTATCTTCATCACTGCTTCCGGATGGAAATAGTGCGCTGGTAGATCAAGGAGACGAGCCCAGACCATTGTAGAAAGTATTTCATGGCGGTAAGGATTAAAGCTCTTATCCCACATGTGCACCGTAAGATAGTGATCACCCATCGTCCACGGACCTCCTGTAGTTGCTCGTTCATAATCAAGACCGCTGGTGAATCGTACAAGATAGTAGCCATTTTTTGCCGACGCAACTTGGATGGTCCCCGCCTTTGCCCATATAGCATTCAACCTAGTTGCAATCCCGGTATACGAGACCGATCTCCCCAGCACTTTCACTACCAGGGCATATCTGTATTGCCTGCAGAACCTTCTCTCTTCAGCGGCGGTGAAGTGTATCGGGGGGCAAACTGGATCATCATCCTCACTGTCCGACCCTTCGTCTCTTCCATCCTGCCTCATGGCCTTCGCTACTTTCTCAGAATCTGAGTCTGCTACATACCACGTATATGTTCTCAGGACATCACTAAACAATCTTCGCGCCGCCCCCGATCCCGAACCCGAGCTCCATGCCGACGCTGGTTTGGTGTTAGCTGCCTGGCGTTCCCCTGGAACCTCTTGGGCATCGACAAAGACCTCATCATTGATCTCTCCCGTCGAAAAGGTCTGCACCGTAGGTTTGACCCTTTTTTTGCTTTGTTGTGTTTCTCTGTCCCCCTTCGGGTCGGGGGACGACGTTACCGACGGCGATCGTCGAGTTCTTGCTACGTTCTCAGTACTGCTTAGTGGTCCGGGGTCCGCCTCCGCCGGCGGTATGGTCGCCGCCGACATCAAGGACGCAAACCTTAGCGCAAGACAATATTCGTCGCCTCTCCGAAAATCCCGGAGCAACTTCAAAACAACTCTGTAGGTAAAATCAATGTGAACAGATTTAACGAGAAGAAACGAAAAACATATTAAGTCGTTGTGAACAGATTTTGATCAAGTTTTCGAGGGACAAAAGGAAATTTGATGTTCCTAAAGTATTGTATGTAAGTATGTTAGCGTGTTGAGGGGCTGGATGATACTTACGGATTTTTGTTTTCCGGACTTTGAGATAACTTCATTAAATTCTCAATGATTTTTTCTAATAGCGAGAACAACTTTAAAATAATTATGAAATTACTAAACAAATAACATAGCAAAGAAATATGAACGGGTTCCAATCTTCTTATTGATTGATATAGACAAAAATACGTACTTATAAAGTTACACAATCAAATTTCTTTCATTCTCATTCCAGATTTCGACCTCTCAACTCCTTTTCTCTCTCGAATTCTCTTTCTTCCCTTCCAAGAAATATTAATTATTTATCAATACAATTCCTAATCCAACTAGAACACTTATAATGAATAATTATATTCTACCAAAAAAATTATTATAACAAAATATCCTAGAATAATATGAAACACATAATAACAAAGAAATATTATTAAATTATACGCAAATGTAATTATTTGAATAGTTACGTCGACTCAATCTCGTAACACTCTATATCATAATAAAAGGATTAAGCTTGCCATAATTTAGGAATAATTAAAAAATTCAAAGTTTTTTTTATAGAACTAGAGGAAGAACCGCAATATCAGTCACTGGTAAGGTTTTGGACTAAGAGTCAAAACTAGATTTGACAAATGAATAGGATTCATGGATCCAGCTCATCCAAGTGACATCTAAATGTTGAATTATTATGAAAAAATCAAAATTTCATGAACCAAAATGTAAATTTTCAATAATATTTTCATATAGATACTCAACTATAATTTTTCAACAATCCATTTATCCAATCCAGTTAGATTTTTCAGTCGAGGTAGAATTAGATTCAAATTGCCGTGAAAACAAAGGTTTAATAAGCCTAAGAAATCACATGGGAATATTTATTGTGAACTTCTAACTGGGATAAAACATTTATTTTGAGGTTTTGCGTCTTGCAATGAACAGTGTAAGCTTTATAAAGAGCAACTTGCAGGTTGCAGCTTGCGAGGAAACACGCTTGCACCACTTGAACAGAGCTGATACTCGCCACAACAAAGATGTATTCAATTTTGCAAAAGCTTGATTAGAGTCAACATGAAACCATTACTCCATAAGTTCAAGTGATGCTTGTTCTTCAAATGCCAATTGCAGCATGACAGAGACAGACAGACACAAAGGATAAAGTTCAATCCTGAAATGAAACTCATGCCTGCCACAAGAATTTTGAACACATCTCCTAACCCCTATCGATGGTGTTCATACGCACTTGAATGTTCATCGATGATACAGCATGCACTGGTACAGGAATCTGCCAGTCTCAGCTTTTCACAATTTGGACTCCGCCAAAGACTGCTGAATGGTTTCACAGGGGTATTATCGACAGTCTGCATCATATGATAAGAGCTTAAGAAACACGAGGATGATAATATTTTGCTGATCAGATAAATATGAAATATGTGAGCCGAGAGTAGATGATGCTCTGATAATCTGTAATCTTTTGGAAATAAGAGCTTACCCCTCTCCTACAATCAGCAGTTGTTCACTTTGGGTAGAGAATGTCATAGTGACCAGGGCGGTAGAGCAATGTGACAAAGGGTTTGGTAGTGCCTTCAGCGACCTTTGCAGGATTACCGTCAGAAGCAGGCACGAAATCATGATGGTTTACAGCAACTTCACCAGTATCGCAAGAACTGCGGTCAAGGTATACAACACGAATTGGAACCCCAAGGGCATCTGATAGAGCGGTAATGTGAACATGGTCACTCTCTTCGCCCATAGGCTCCACTGATGACTTGCAAAACTAACAAAAAGGCACCCAATAATATCAGTCCTAAAGATAAACTGTTGGTCTTGCATACCAAATCTGGAGTTACTGACTGTTCGTACGGCTACATTCATTGATGCCAAGCACAAACATGAAATATAAAACTCATACAGGAAGAAGCTTCTTCTGCAGCAGAAGCATCACAAATATCTTTAAGCGCTAATATCTTACAATGTATACTCTTGTGAACTAAGCAGAATTACTGCAGGTCTGAGAAGGAAGACTGAGCTCTGTAATCTACATTTCGGTGCCCTATCTTATATAGGATTTCCATATTCTTTGTTTGTGAAATAACTGAGTTTAGGCTAATTGCAGAGGTTCTAATTATTTAGGAACTATTATTATCCTGGAAACTTGAAAAAGAATTGGTTTCCACAAACAAGAGGGGTCGGACAGATTTATAATAATAAATAATTTTTGAGTTTCAAGTCCGGACATTGCAGGTCCTCAGAATAGATTGCTCAGAGAGTGGAAGTGACTGAAACCCAAGAATATATAATATTTCTCTCAAGCCCATAACATAAATATCACAAAAATTCTGAAAGACGATGACAAATAAAATGTGTACTATACATGGTGAAACCAATATATTTCGACGAACCTGCTCTACTGTGGCATTTGTTAAACCCAGAATGAACGGTTCAAAGAATGCTGACCGCTTTCTTATCTCGCCAGAGGTTACAAACCTAAAAAACATGACAACTGCCCACCACAATTTTGTTAGGAGTACTCAAACAAATAGTTATAGCAACCACAAGCAACATGATATTGGGGGAAATTTTCATTCATAAGTAGATGACCTTTGGAGTTACTTACTGTAATCTGATACTGACTGATCTCTACTTCTGGTTACAAGCTCCTCATGGCTGCCAAAAAGAAATGATCAAAAGGATGATGTTAATTGCACGCTCAGGAAGGGCATAATCACAGACGATTTCATATGAATTTGAGGTTTTCGTCACAACCCAATGGAGAATGGAGGAGTCAAAACCTTATCGAATCATCATTTCCTTGAAGGGCATTGTCCAACTGCTCAAGGAATAGCTGTAGAGTTTGACAATTGAACAAAATTAACAGGTATTAGTTGCATACAAAGAGATGTATAAAGCATGAAAAGCTTAAACACGAGGAATGCTAATCAGGTCTGCAAATCCACTCCGACATAACATAATGATACATTGCCCCATCCCAAATTCCACAATTTTGTAGAGGCATACTCATTTCAAACTCCCAAACCAGGCCCATTCTTCTGTCTATAATGGAATTAGATTAGGAGCACCCATAAAGACATGGATGGATATGGTTACCGCAAAGAAGTCCTCGAAGGTAAAGTCAGCATAACCCAAACTCTGAAGGGTTTTCCTGCATTCTTCAACGTTCAGCTTGACACGATCAACTTCTGTGCGATCCTGCGTTTGAAGGATGTGTTCCTGCGAATCAATTACCCACCCTATCATATACGTGAAATCGATAAGGTCAAATAACAGAACGGGAAAATGAGAATGAAGGGTAAGACGTGCATACGAGATAGGCAAACATAAAACTGCGGAAGAAGCAATTTCCATCTCCCCGAGTTCGCCTGATGGCAGCATACTGATCGGAGAGCAGCTGTTGGGAGCAAAGATGGGCTAGAATGAAACATATACCCAGAAAAGTGAAGAAAAGAGTGGAGGCAATTGTTCAAGGAGAGTGAAGTCGGAAAGGTGGGGAAGCGACCTTTATTTTCTGCAGAAGAATAGGACTGCCGGACTGATATTCGGCGGCTAATGCTGAAAGAGGCTCCTGCAAAGAAAGTGAAGAATTAGGGAGGAGAAGAGAAGATACGAAGCAAATAGAGAGTGGAAAGGGAAGCGCCGGTGCCTTATCGCCGAGGAAAGGCAGTTTATGGGCTTCAGCATCCCTGATATCGGAGTGCTGTTGCATGATATCGTTGTCGGCGAAACTGGACCAATTCTCTTCCGGCGGCTGTTCGTGTTCGGACTGAGAAAGATTGGCGGCGGCGACGGATGAGGAGGACGACTGCGTCTCAGTCTCGCAACCATCTTCCTGCTGCCTGGCCGGCTCCTCGGTATCGTTCTGCATCTGTTGGTGAGGTCAAATAGAGAGAGGATCGTCAATTTCGAAGCTGAATCAAGAAAGAAGCACGAATTCGGATTGGAAACTTAAAATTGTACCAGTCTACTGGTTCCCGAGTAACGTACCGTGGAGAAGGACGGCGGCGGGTAGATGAAGATCCGAGCGGGAGTGGGAGCTCCGGCGAGGAGAAGATTGAATTGTCGTGATTTCTTCTTGTCTTCTTCTTGGTAAGGGAGGAACGGGATTTGGGAAGGCCAATGGAGAGGGAGATCGAGGGAAGAAACCGAGTGATAGAAAGAAAGTGCTCCGTCCGGCCTCCGCTCTCTTACTCCTCGATTTCTGCGAGATGCCAAAAATATTTCCTTTTTAATTTGTTTTATATTTTATGGAGGATTAATAATGGTAATATGGTATGGTCAATCACAAAACAGTCACTAAAATTTAGGTAAAGTAACGCGTTGGTAATTAAGCTTAATAACAAACAAACTTGTTTAGGGATGACAAAAAATATCCACAAAGTTGCTATTGCCGAAATCCAAATGATTATCCGTTAGGTCAGATATGGGTCATGTTTGGTTTGGACAGATTTATATTCAATTAAATAAATTTGTGGTAAAACCAACTTGTAAATTCTAAACAATACTCAAATGGGTATTTCGTACGAGGTTTTCAAATTGGTTTATATCATTAGCGGATATTTAGCAAAAATATGTAGAAATGTGAAAAACATTAACATCAAATGAATTTAAGCATATATAATACATATTCGAGGACAATCTACTTCTAATTTAAATTTAAATTTAAATAAAATACCATGTTTCAAACCAAATAACAAATACTCATATTTAAATAAACATTTAACATCAACATTCAAACGTTTGTACTTGAATCCAATAAATAACATCAACATTTAACTTTCAAATTCATGTAATAAATCACAACTTAAATTTTTTGTTAATTAAATCCACTAAAATGACATCATTTTGTTTAGAGACCGAAAATCTATAATGTCGGTGGTATCCCTGCCGCTTTTAGGGGTGGGCATACGGTTCGGTAAAACCGAACCTAACCAAACCGAACCGAATTCAAACCGAACCGAAACCGAATAACATTAATTCGGTTCGGAATTCGGAAGAGAAAAGGGTATATTTCGGAAACCAAGGTCCTTTCGACCGAACCGAATTTCCGAATTCCGAACTGATTTTCCGAATTACTATAATTGCAAGTTCCAAATGGTGGATTTTTATGTTTGTACTTATTATGAGACTTAAATATTTGAATTATGTTAGTGTTTTATGACTTATGTGTTGAAATGTTTGATTTTATCATTGATAATGCATTTAATTGCATATTTATTGTTTACATCAGGGGTGAAAAATAATTTAAAAGAGAAAAAATACAAACTAAACTCACAAGTTCGGTTTTTCATACAAAACCGAACCGAACCGAATTATAATTCGGTTTGAACCGACCGAACCGAATTATAATTCGGTTCGAATTCGGTTTGAGGTTTGATGGAACTCGGAAACCCGGTATACATTATTTCGGTTCGGTTTGAACCGAACCGACCGAATGTCCACCTCTAGCCGCTTTCTTGACCAACATCGGTTATAACAAGTTCAACCGACACGACAACCATGCTCTCACTCAGCCTATCTTCCCCAAACGAGTTTCCCCTATGATTATTTTGTTCTTCACTTGCTTGTGCTGACTACCAGAACCCACCTTTACCTCTCCCCACCATTTCGAATTGTCGATCTTCTTCAACATCGATGACCACCCGATCTTTTTCTTCTTGGCTCGAATCCTTAGTGCCAATGCCAGAACCAACTTATCCCTCTCCCCACCATTCCAAATTTTTTATCTTCTTTTCTACACCCACTTCTCCGGCGATGACGACCAACACCCAACAACTTCCTGCAGTTTTGCACCACTACATCAGCCACGCCCTCAACGACTATATCGGGCTCAAGAACTTCAGATACCAATTACATATCATCCCCCTTTCCTTCCTCCTTATTTAGAAGATGAACAGAGATGAGAAGACATGGTGTTTGAGCCTGAACTCGGTAAATGGGTGCCTCCTTCTTATGTCACCTGCACAGGCACACTCAATGGACACTTTGTGTTCTGCTAGACCTCCAACGATCAAGTTAGCATATATTCTAGAGAGATAAGTGGTATTCACTACTTTAGAGAGATAATCCAACCTACTTAAATGCTCTTTCCTACCCCCTATTTATACCTGATATGATCCCGACAATCTTCTCAGAACATTTAATGCATTGTTTCCCCAAACGAGCATGCACCTCAATATACATTCCTCCCTCAACAGTGAAGATCGACGCATATGCCAGAATATCAGTGTTTGTACTAATTTGAACAGAGGCCTACTTTGTCATCATGTGCCTCCTTAGTTGGGCTTCTTTGCTGGCATAGCCCAACATAAGTAATGAGCTTTATTCTTCTTGGACCCACTCTTCTACCCATGCCTTATCACGTGGACGTAGGCCATACATAAATCCCCACAACAATTATTTCCCAGTTAGAAGCTCAAGGTTTTCTCTTTGGGCGCCTAATTACAAAATGCCATAAATTTGATATCATATATTCATACTCCCTCGTGTGACATCACAATCCTTGTCCCTAATATGCGCTTAACGCTTTCATCATTAAGCTTACACGTAAATTCTTATGACACAATACGCGACTATTTATTTCCTCCTCTCCTTAATAAACCTGCCTTTACGCCATTATTGCGCCTTTACAAAAAAAAGGCGCATCAGATCACATGCATCAACCTGCTTGCTCTCTCTTGCCCCCGTCAGCCACGCGCTTCAATAAGATATTTGGGAATGCTTGGCGGACAACTTGTATCCCAACACGGTTTTCCACGCATACCCTTTCTCCTCCAACTATAACCCCCCCCCCAAGGTATCTCGCAAACTCTCACTTCATTTCTTCACAAAAATCTTCTCTCTAGCTTTCTCTCTCTAACAAATCGTGTTTCCTTCTGCACTCCATAAGCTATATGCAATTATGTTGTCATGTCTGCTTCCAACACCAACGTTCCAAAGACATCTAAAGCATAGGCCAAGAAAACTGCCCAACCCTCAAAAGGCGTTGGTGCGAATGAAACTACAGGTATGTTCTCACGCCTTGCTTCTATATTACGTATATCATGGAACAAGGGTTTACATAGGAAACATGGGCCTAGAAAAAGTAGTTAGTAAGAAACGTGCCATCCTTCTTTGAGAGTTTGAGGTCGTCGAGGTTAGGTCTGAGTAGGGAAGGTGGTCCGGCGCAAATTCGTATGGTTCAAATGTATAGGCGCCTATCTAATATGCTTTCCCAATATGATTAAGGTGGATGTAATATTTTTTTGCCTCTAGATAGGCTTCAGTGTATAAGATCACAACTTGGGACAATACTTGGCCACCAAGGCATATGTCTGATAACCTTGTCGAGTTGAGTATTGCTGAAGCTGGTCTAACGCACAAATCAATTGTGACCCTAAACAAGATGAAGGATGTAATTTAGTCCTTAGGTTTGCTAGTTACTTGGGCGTACACCCCACCAACGGATATATCTCGGATCGAGGTAGCTGGCAAGGGCTGGATAGGCATATACTAGGAATATTTTAGGTTTGGATTGTGGTTCCCGCTGGATGACATACTGTGTGTGTGGCTTCACCCTCGGGAGCTATCATCATTACGATGAATACTTAGTATGTGTAGACAAGTTGAAAGAATCTCCACCAACTCCGGAGTTGAAGCTAGCACAATGGCACTCCATATAGCCAATATAAGGACAAAGACGTTGCTAGAGAAGATAGATGAGTTGGAGTACAAAGCATCAGAGGAATTTCGAGAGTTCATACACCAAAATGGATTCAACCCACATCCCATGGAGCCAACAATGATGAATGTAACTGGATGGGGTGTTGAAGGAATGTCAAACTCGATTGGCCATCCGATGATGGCATGTTCTTTGAATGGGAGTAACATATATCCCTTTGTTTTGCTTGTATTTGCTTTTGCTTGTTATTGATTAGAATCTCCATAAACAAGATGAGTTCTAGTTGCCTATCTTTTTTCGTCCCATAGTTCACTATCTTTTTTTAACCACTAGGGACAATGTACATTTTGAAGTGTAGAGTGGAATAGGGTGCTACATGCAGGGGCAGAGCTAACACGGGAGGAGGGGGTGCCAATGCACACCCTTGCTTTGGACTCAACAAAAGGAAAATATATGTACGTTGGAGAGAGCCCATTAAAATTGCACCCGCACCTGTGGACTTGGACATTTAGGAGTTGGAAAAAAAATATTAAAACAAATACTTTATCCAAAAAGTATCGAAAGGATAATAAACCAATCTAGTAATCAGATTCCCTTCGAGGCTTCCACTACAAGGTAACCTATATGTAGCATCACACCATCCCAATTGACCAATTTTCCATTATCGCCGCCCCAACCCGTAGGTAGAGATTGTCATTGTGGTTTCTTATTGTTATTGTCCCCAATCTAATTGAGTTTTTTCAATTAATTATTTGGTTACTCCGTTTTTTTAAATATGTAGCTTTTACCATTGAGAAATCTTGATAAAAAGGGTCAAAACAACTCCAAATGTTCAAGGGCATGAAGATAATTTTTCAAATGCACCTATACATTTAACTCTAACTCGACTACACTAAACCGTGAATAATCTCCACCGGTAAACCATTTTAAGTTTAGATAGATCTAGGGAAAGTGAAATTAACAAAGTTTTTTTTTTTAAATTGACACCCCCTAAAGCAAAATTCTGGCTACGCCACTGGCTACATGTTACTTGATTATGCTTGAAACATGATAATTTTTAGTAATTCAATTTCGAAACCTACTAGTTCTACAATCCATTTGAAAATTTTCAAAAGTCCTAAAAAAAAATTCATCTAATGATTTTTGGTCATCCCTTACAAGCTTTTCACTGGTCATCTTAATGAGACTAGGAAATATCCTTCAATTTAGGGAGGATATTGTAGTGACTATGAAGGATGTGATAGTCTATGAGATATAACGACCATTTGATGTGTTTGAATGCCATATTATTTGATCTATTCAAAAATATCCAATTATGCAAAAGAGTCTCCTATTTTTCAAAAAAAAAAAAAAAAATCAAAGAGTGAACTGTATCTTTATAAAAATTCATAATTTCTACACATCAAGATATTGTTTCATTCGAAAAATTTTCATGCTATGTGAAGAATAAAGTGTGGGGTAAAAATTATACCTAGATTGTGTTTTAGTATTTTTCTACCAACACCTTATGATCAATGAGCTATAATTATACCGAGATTGTGTTTTAGTATTTTTCTAAGCC